CGATAGGAAGTATTCAGAAATTAGGAACACCCGGTTTTGTTTCACAGCGGGTGAGAATAGCCAACACTGGCTAGTCTCACCCGGGGTGAGAGGTCGATCACATTTTTATTCTCACCTGGGGTGAGAATAGCCACTTCCTAAGATAAAATAAAATAAATACGGTATAAACAGCATATGTCTAGAATTGCCATAAGCCAACTCAAGCTCCCTCCTAGGAAGGCACTCTATTTTCTGTCCGATATTCAACAAAACCTTTTTTGAAACCCACTAAAATTCCCTTTCGGGATACTATTACTCGAGTAATAACTCGAGTCTTAAGAGCCGTGGGACTCGAGTAATTACTCGAGTAATTACTCGAGTCCAGAGCAGATACTCGAGTCTGGACTCGAATCTTAATATGCTGGACTCGCACACCTCTAGTCAGGGGTAATGGAATCATTTATGGTTAGGGGTAATGGAATCATCGATGGTCAGGGGTAATGGGATCATTGATGGTCAGGGGTAATGAAATCATTGATGGTCAGGGGTAATGAAATCATTGATGGTCAGGGGTAATGGAATCATTGATGGTCAGGGGTAATGGAATCATTGATGGTCAGGGGTAATGGAACCATTGATGGTCAGGGGTAATGGAATCATTGATGGTCAGGGGTAGTGGAATTCTTATTCTGGCCAGTGCAGCCATCTGAGAAAAGGTAGGCTTTCTTTGTGCCTCTTTCATCATAGAAATTCGGGGCACTGTACACTGATGTTGAGATTTCGGATGATCCGCGCTAACTCATTGTTTTGTCCCATTTAAAGCAATGGCAATTCCAGTCCCCAATGTTGTAAAATGTTAAGTTGTAGTGGGACAATCTCCGTTTGTAGAAGATTGCACTTTCTTGTGAGACAGGCAGGTAGACAGGCAGGTAGATAACCTGCTGAAGGTCAAAACTGGCACACAGAACAGTTGCATCCTCTTGTGCTTCCTTTTTACATTGGGCTTTGATTTCTCTAACCTTTTGTTTTCCCTGAACGTGATTGTCATATTGAGCTTTCACAGCTTGATGTGAAGACTCGTCTCCTTTAAGGTAGGTAACACATGAGGTACATTGGTCTTTTTTGGGTCAGTGGATGGATACATTCTTCTCCTTAAACATGCTCTTGTAAAAGACAAAGCTTGGTGGCTCTGGCTTTGGTTTCCACTCTTCTAAGAACAGATCGTACATTTTTCTCTTTGTCAAGTCTGGACTGAGATGTTCTCTCGAAGACGATGCTCTACAGAAGTGTGACTCAGTCCTCGGGAACCTGTCGATGTAATCAGCCACCGCTTATATTATCTTTTCATTTTGTAGAATCGCAGCCTTTGATTGAACTCCACCTATCATTTCTCCTTCAATCGTCCCTGATGAAGTGACTTTGTTCAAAGCAGTGGAGAGCCTCCAGGCCGAGGCCAACATACCACCACTCTCACTCAGATGCACACAACTCTCACTACAATACGCAGTTAAACAGAGCTCAACAC